TGTGGAAAGTAGAGAAAGTAAAGGGAAGTTGTTTTTTTTAAAAAAAAAAAAAGAGAGAGAGAGAGAGAGAGAGAGAGAGAGAGAGAGAGAGAGAGAATCTCAACAAGAAAGCAACAAAGAAACAGGGAAGGCCCAAGAGAAAAGAAGAGGGCAGGAATGAAATGGAACATGAGAGGAAAGATAAAGGGGAAACTGAGGTGGGAGTTTTAAAGGAAAATAAATATTAGACCAAAGGGGCCACTAGGGAAGGGTTGAGATACTCAGGGATGAGGGCTTGCTTGTTATACATGGTTCTGCTTCTTTGAATATTTGAAGAAAGCTGTTGTATTGCCTGAATGTTTTTGTTTGTTTGTTTGCTTGTTTTTTTTTTTTTGCCTAATGCAGGCAAAATAAAATATTCCTTGGTTTTCCAAATATGGAGTCAAAGCAAAAATAAAGATAAGAGGAAATTCAGGGGGAAGAAAATAATTTCTTTTAATTATTTGTGCTTGATCTAAAGCTTCTATCATTTTGTGTGTTTTATGAAAACTTGCAGCAATGTTCCAAGATTTTCCTGGTATCCTCAGGTCACAGAGAAGATGGCTGTTTCAGAAGAGAAGTGGTCATCCCATAGCTGCAGATGGCAAGCCAAGCTGCAGGACAAGCCACAAATTCCTGACCTCCAAATGCTGCCCTTTTTCTAAAAGCAATACCTTCATTATTCCCTTTGAACTGCCTCTTTTTCACAACCCCTCCCCCACATACACACTGAATGAGATGTCATTCAGGAGCCTATTTTTCATTTACAATCCATACCTATAGCCAGTACTATAAAGAAGTAATTGGCTTTGGAGAAGAACGCCGTGATGATGAACACCTTATCTTCAATTACAGGTTTGGCCTGGCTCGCTGCAAGGTAGAAGATCTAGACTGCTTGGCCTAAAGTCTATCCACACTCCCAGGTCTTATCAAACCTGTATATACAAGATAAACTGAAGTACAGAGTAGTATCTACCTGGAGCCTGGGAGACTATAGCCCAGGCATTAGCTCTTTGATCTAGGGAATAATGACTGAGGGATGGACAGTGCTGAGTCTTCTGAGAGATGCTCCTTTAGCACTTGGTTGGATTAGGCCAGCTCCTTGTGTGGTCTTGGGTCTTGTCTAGTCACCTTTCCTAAACCTGTACTGCTACAGGGAAGGATTACATAAGAGTGGTCCTTCACAAATGGGCAATAGTCAGCTCTTGGAACACTTGTGGCCACTGTATCTGTCACCACTTTTTCTTGTTTTAGGATCCTTCACTCACTGTCTTGTATTTTGCATTGCATCATTTTTAAAATCAACAAGGAGACCACACATCCAAAGAGTGCTTGTCAAGTGGCAGTATTGCACAAAGGGGCATGTCTCATTCCTTATGTGGGTTTGGCTGAAAGCTGGGTATCAGGACTCTTCATGAACATTTAAGGAGGCTTCAAAGAGGAGTCACATAACCATGGGGTTCCTTTTTGTGGCTGATTATATCAGAAGTCAAATTTATAATTAGGTACTATAGGTTATTCAGGTCTGCTTTATGTCTCTCCTCCAGAGTTTTAATTGTGCACTATTTAGTGCTTAGGATAAAATGAAATTATATCAATTACCTTTACTTAAAGATAGCCCCTATGACCCATTCATTGTATAATCTCCCCTAAAGTTTGTTATTCTTACACCAAGAATATTCTAATTATAGACTGCAGGTTGGAAATCATTTGTAATTATCAAATAAAAAAAAGTCAAACATTGTACCCAGTGTTGGGAAAGATTTAGCATTGGTCAACCTTGCACAACCTGAACACTGTCTTCCTAAAATCTTAAGACAGCAGTTGCCTGCCTTCTGCTCTAGGTGGCTATGGAAAATATAATTCTATATGGAAAAAAAAGATGTAGACTTTAGAGTCTGGTAAAAATAGGTTTGAGTCACAGCTCTGGAATTTCGAGGTACTAGGCTACTCAGTAGGCCTCTCTGAGTCAATATATTTTTCTATAAATTGAGTCTGTTAATCAGAGCTGTTGTTCTACATCACAGGGAAATTCTATTCATTGGATAGATTGATTATGTCTTTCTATCCCTTTTCTCTAGTGGAATACCAATAGAAATTGGGGAAATGGATTTAAATAAAAAGGAAAGGTATAAATTACATAGATAAAGGGACTAAGATAAGGGACAACTGCAGACATATCTTACAAATGGAAAGTAGAAGCGGAGTAGTAGAAGCTGACCTGTTACAGAGCAGAGAAAGCTACAACTTGAGAGCCTGAGAGTAGACTCTGACAGTGCAATGCCAGTCTGAGAACCTAGGATGTAAAGAGATGTCACAGTTGACATCTCCGGCCTTCATTTCACACAGAAAGTCAATACACCATCTCGACCTTTAAAAGAAGGCTAGGAGGTTCAAAACAAAGTAGAGAATGCAGGGAGCTTAAAATATTAGAGAATCCACTCGGAACATACAGTTTTTGCCTACTAGGAGTTCTAAAAAGAGATGGCAACACACACACATAAACACACACACACACACACACACACACACACACACACACACACCGGGGCACATCACTGCTATTTTATCCCAAATGGAAACATTCTAGAGATACAAGGAATACCCCCTTCAGTGCTGTGGAACATTGTGAGCCTCATGTCACCACAAGTCTGTGGCATCTTCCTCAGAAAACCCTGCATTGCTGTTGAGTAATCTAGGTCACAACAGCTATTTGTTTAATTCATATAAATGACATGAGGAGAAGAAAGTCAACAGTAGCTTCTCTCCAAAGTCATATTTATCTGATTTTTAATTTCTTCATTCACAAATTGTTTTCACTATATTCTTAGAGATTATCTACACATATTGTCATCCATGTTCAATTTTGTGAGAAAAGAATACATCAACATATTAATCAACAAATACTTAAATTTCAAAATCTGAAAATAAAATTTCAAATTTTAAGAACAGCTCTAATTATCTGAGTTGCTCTATTCCCTTGAGAAAAAAAATTCTTCCATAATTCTCCCTATGTCAATCCTTAAAGTATAGTGTAAATTTGGAAGACAATAAATACTGTTTGGAATGGTATCTTTCCATTTTTTTGCCTCCATCTATCCTCTGCAGCAAGCATTCATGTACATGCACACACACACACACACACACACACACACACACACACACACCAATCACCTGGGCATATCACTGGCACTCTGTCCATATATATGTAAATGCAACACACCCAAGATTATTTAAGAGATAGACTATATGCACTAGGACTATCCTAGTGTACAGGTAAAGAATAGGAAGTTATGGTGACATAATGCCAGGTATGGGATACCAACTTATGAACTACTGCTCAGAGAGTATTATGGGGTACCCAAAACAACACAGACTATTATCATATCTCATGTAGCCACAATAACTGGATGGTAAGACCCTATTGCTAAAGGCATCACATACTTTAGATGCAGGACACAAAGAAATTAAGCAAGAACGGATTTAAAAGTCTTCCTGTCTATTGTGTAGCTTTAATAGTGCCAGAAGATGCTAGGTAGGATACTGGGCCTGGGAGAAGTTATCAATGGTACTATCCAGCAATGGTCCCTGCATGCTACAATATTGATCTGCAAGGCAAGATGTGCCCACTGGTAAAATATTGACAAGATTGTTGGATATAACCAACCACTTCTTGATTTGGTTTGATTCCTGATTAGATTTTAGTCTTGCTGCTCAGAAGGGAATCTGTGCCTATTATTGCAAACCTGACTTTGGAGATGGTCTTAGTTAAGGTTGCTAGTGTGTCATAAAAAATATGACTAAAAGCAACTTGAGGAGTAATGGGTTTATTTCACATTGTAACTTATTAGTCCACCACAGGGAGAAGCCAGGAAGAAACTTAAAGGCAAGAACTGAGGCAGAGGCTATAGAGGGATGCTGATTACTGGCTTGTCCTTCTTGTCTTGTTCAGCCTGCTGTCTATAGCACCTAGAACTACCAGCTTAAGAGTGGCACCTCCCACAGTGATCTGGGACCTCTTACATCAATCACTAATTAAGAAAATGCATGACAGGTGTGCCCATTGGCCAATCTGGTGGAAATCTTTTCTCAATTCAGGTCCACTGTTCCCTAATGGATCTAGTTTGTGGCAAGTTGACATAAAACTAGCCAGCATAGGAGATCACAGGCCCTAGAAGTAATTTACTGCCATTCTTCTGATAAAAGGCCACGGCATCAAACTTCTAGACATTTATGGTTAAATTCATAGATTAGTGCTGTTCTTAGCCTTAATTACAGAAACTACAGAAATCATACTGGTCAAAATAGAAAGAATAAGGGACCTTTGAGTGCTCAGCCCTAAATGGGCAATCTATATCAATCTCTGACCTTACCCCAAGACTCAGGATATATCTTAGAATAAGGGACAGAAAGAATGTAAGAGGTGGAGAATGAGAAGAAGAGCTGTGAAATGGTGTCTTCTGGACATGGCTGTTCTCTTTCACTGTAGTTCTGGTTGCCTGCACAAGACCAAGCCAGGAAGCTCAGTCAGTTTTCAAGAAGAGAGCATTAATAGGACTCTGGATTAGAGAGAGGAGGGATATAAAGAGGATAGGGGGAGTTGAGGTGGATATGATCTTGATATGTTGATGCATGTGTAAAATTGTCAACAAGTAAAAGAAAAGTAGAAAGAAGAATCATGCTAATTGCAAAAATTACTCCTTCATAGAAGATTATGATGACATATTGGAGGAAAATTATCTGGCTATAAACTCTGTACTGAGTTTCAAATTCCAGCCACAAATTAAAATTTGTAGATACAAGTAAAATATGCATATATTCCTTTCAGTAGTTTAAGGCAGACTACAGAACAATAAGCAGCCTCCCTGAGACCTCAATGGCCAATTATATAAAAGTCCTTCTTTGTCTTGTCTGTTGCAATCCCATGGATCTTCAAGGCAGCTAGTTTTCACTGAACCACGCCATTTTCATCTTTAACATACCATTTTAACTTGAGGCTTACAGCAGAAGACCGAGAAAATGTGGGGAAATTCATTTTGCTCTTTTATTCTTCACCTTGGAGTTAACTACAATACTTCCTCTTTTAATTCAATCCAAAGGCTCCAATTTAGTTCCAAATGAATCTGGGGTAAAATAGAGCACATGGACATTTGGTGAGCATGAAGGGTTTCTTCCAAAGGTTAAGGCACGTCTTCAAAGCCTGGCTCTGGCACTTACTGTTTTAGCTGATTTACTCTATGACTAAGTTTTGACAACTCTAATGGGAAATGGAAATAAAGTGTAATATATGATTGCTATAGTCATCATAAAAGAATGGTCTAGAATTCCCTGCCTCAGCACATCACAGATAAAATTCTCATCCACAAAATGTTTATCTATCTCCATTACTATCATCATATTTGCTATGTCCACTAGGGTTTGGCTAAATGCTGGTACTATTGGGACTTGAAGTTCAGATGCATGGTGAGAAGGACCACATTACATCAAACAATTCTTTGTAGTTGAGTATCCACAATATGTAGGTGATACATGCAGGATGAATATAATATTCATTCTATTATTTAGCAAACAATTCAAAAAATGTTCATTTCAGTCATAACACATTGCTATATCCAGGCATAAAACCTGAATCCACTTCTGAAATCTGGACAGATTACCCACTGCCTCCTGAGCACCAGAGGTAGAAACCAAGGTGGCAAAATCAATGAATTGGAAACAGTTAGAAATCAAGTGCCTTTGACTTCATATATTTAAGAAAAATTATGAATAGTAGATCATGGGAGAAGTCTCATTTTCACTACCAAGTAGCCATGGCCTTTGAACATGTCTGTTAGTATAAAACATCTACAATGTCAATGTCAGAAGGAAACACTCATTCATGTTGAGAGGCAAACTGGGGCATACTAGTGCACTGCCCCTGTCAAATACCAAAAGCCATGGGAAATTCTGAAGTTTGACGATATGAGGAGAAAAAAGAATCATAATCTTTAAAAAAAAAACAATTTTAAGCAGCAAAAGACTAAACTTTCTATCAACATTAAAAGCTTTTGACAACTTTATAACATTAAGCTGTATGAAACTGACAACTCTATAGATCACACATGATGAAAACGGTCCATTTTTAATGTTTGAATATAGTGTGGAATAGGAAGATTCTTCTACTGCTACTAACACAGCCACACATACCCAGTTCTACACACTGTTCACACAATAAAATTGATTGTGTGTTTATTGTGTGCCAGATTATTCCAGGCCTCTGGGGTAGAGTAATAAATAAAATAGATGTCAGGTACGGACTGTGGACTATGAATCTCAGATCCAGGGCTTTAGGGTCAATCTAACTTGTGGTTATTTCCAGGATCCACCATTTCCTTTTGATCATGAATAACACACATATACACAAGTTACATGCCATATATTGTTTATTTTATATACATACTATATACATGTTGCATGTATGCTTATAAACCACATATTTCTGCACATGTATATATTTTAATTATGTATAAAGAATGTCATATAAATGTATATATGTATAAATTATGAAATATATAGATGTGTGCATAATATGTTTGTATACACACAAAAAGAGCAAATATTCTGAAATGTTTCAGACAAGATGTGTTTAAGATTCTGGAATATTTTCATACACATTACAACATTGTGGAGACAGGATTCTAGTCTAAACATGAAATTCATTTATTACCTGTAGGTAATTTTACAAATAATTTGACATGTCTATGATTTAATAGTTCCCAATCACATAAGGTAAGGTGAGTATTTTCTACTTGAAATATGATATTAGCACTTGAAACAAAATTTCATGTTTTGTTTTTTCAGATTAGGAATGCTAAACCTGCATATATAAATGACTTCGAAGTTTGTTCATATAGCAAAGGTACAAAGTAAACACTCTTTTAAATTGCCTTTGTTAATTCCTACCTTCTGAAATAATGTTCTCATCAAATTTTTATCATTTAAAGTCAGATACTAAGCAGACTGGCAGAAGTAAAAGGATCATGTAAAGTTGGAGACCAGCTTTGTCACTTAGTAAGTTCCAGGCCAGCCAGAATGCTCAGTGATAACCTATCCACAAACAAAAAAAATCTAATGATCCTATACATATGAACACATATAAGTAAAAATAGAAGTTCAGATAGTGAAATTTAAACATGCATGGAGATAGCTGCAAACTGGATGCCTTGAAGCATTCATGGATGGTTTGGAGTCACACTTCCTGATGTTCCATCTCAAAGCCCAATGAGAATGTAGCTCCAGACAAGTTCAGAGAATGAACTTTGAAGAGAGGTGAGGCACACAGTTCAGAGAAAGAGGAGGGAAGGCCACTAAGCAGAAGAAACAGTTTGAAGAAGAGGGCTGTAAGTCTAATGGAGCTGTCACCAAAGGGCTAGCCTGCCCACAGAGGTAAGTGACACACATAGCTTAAGAGTATGAGGAAACAAATCCTACTTTAAAAAACTTATTTCTCTTTCTAGACTAAATGCCAAAATCAGAATTCAAATTTACAAGAGAGCTTCCCAAGTAAGGAAAAAACAAAGCCAAGAGAAAGCTGAATGCATTTTGAATTGAGTCCTTTTATAATTTGCTAGCTATCCAGTAGTTCGTAAGCTGATGGAATAAAAACCATAAACTTAAAACAGAAGTGTGTTCTGTCACAGTCCCGGAGGCTTTCAACCAAACATCCAAGATGGAAAATGTCACTGGAAAAGAATCACTGCCAATGCCTCTCCCAACAGCCTGGCTGGTGCTAAAGAGATCAAGGCTGGAAGCAGCATTTGTCTTGTGTGTGTCTGTGACCCAAGCTCTTGTATTTTATGAGGATATCTGCCATATTGGATCTGGATCCCCACTAGTCACTTCATCTTCTCCTGATTATCTCTGTCAAAAGTCCTTCAATTTGTCAGGTTTGGGTCTCAGTTCACTGGGTACTCTGTTCAGACTCCAACATATATTTTGGATACAGGTATAGATTCATACCTATAAACTTCAAAGGAAAAACTGAGCTAATCTGAGTAACTGGTGTGGGCTAGAACAACAAGAAGAGACAGAACCCAAAGTTCACTTAAGTAAAAGATCCTGGCAAAACAAAGAAATGTCTTTGCAATACTATGTTTCTTTTCATGGAACTCTGCTATATCAGTTTAGTGTGTGATCTTGCACAGCAAATGCCATTGGAGTCTGCATTGGAACTAGTGAACAAATGCAATGTACTCAACTCCCTAGAGTATTGTTGACAGCATGGATGCTTTGGTTTTCTTTAGAGTTAGAGGAATACAAAGCCACAATTAGGAGAGAATATCCCAGGTGAACCTGGTTGCTTCCAGTACCTGGCAGCACCAGTTTTCCCCCTGCAATTCTTGGAGGCCATAGTGAAGGTTCCCAACTTGTCTCTATTGACACCTAGTGAGCATCAGAACTACAAAGACTGGGATGGGATGATTCACACAGACCTCGACAGATGATAGCACAGTAAAGATACTGACTTTTAAGAGTGGAGCTCTTTCCACAGCTTCATACCTTAGGGATGCAAAGTTGCAAGCCTCAGAAAACCTATCAAAGAAAACAAACCCATAGACAGAAGGCTCATGTAGCTTCCTAATAAGCAGAAAGTACCTGATTCCTCTACCTGCTGCCAGTTTTGTAAGTATTTGTAACTTTTTGTTGTTATTGTTGTTATCATCACTGGACAAACCTAGAAGTTGAAGTTGTATTTATTCTTTATGTACAACCATTTTTAGAAATCCCTAGATGGTAATATTAACAGCATGGCTGTTCCATAAATCAAATTATTTTTCAGTGACCCTTTTTGAATATAAACAGCATTGCAGAAAGTGGAGAAATGTAATTAACTGAGCAATATTTTCAGTCCCAATGCTTCATGATGGAACAGTCTGACAATATGCTTCTGCAATGTGTACTCCATCCTCAATTTTTTTATGTGATAATTGGTATTTTTTTCTATTATTATTATTATTATTATTATTATTATTATTATTATTATTATTATTATTATTATTATTATTATTATTATTATTATTATTATTATTATTATTATTATTATTATTATTATTATTATTATTATTATTATTATTATTATTATTATTATTATTATTATTAATTCAAGTTAGGGAACAGGCTTGTTTCACATGTAATTCCCCCCTCCCTCTCCCTCCCCTCACCCCCATTCCTTCTCCCCCCCCTCCAACCTACTCCCCACTCCATCCACCCACCACTCCCCAGGCAGGGTAGGGCCCTCAAGAGGGGCTCCCCAAAGTCCACCACATCATCCTAGGCCAGGCCTAGGCCCTTCCCCATGTTTCCAGGCCAAGAGTGCATTTCTTCACATGGGATGGGCTCTCAAAGTCCTTCTTACACCAGAGAAAAATACTAATGCACTACCAGTGGCCTCCTAGAGTGCAGAGGCCTCCTTATTGACATCCATGTTCAGGGGTCTGGATCAGTCCTGTACTGGCCTCCCAGCCAC